CAGCTCTCCTGCATGCTCTGCCCTGTGTTCCTCCGTCGGCTTAAAGCATTGTGCATTATAATATTATTTTTCTTTTTTTTCCGTTTCCTTTTTAATGCGTGTTCTGCCTCTTTCTGTTTCTCTCTAACCTCTTTGCAGCCTCCTGCGCTTCCTACAACTTTTCTTTTCTCAGTCCTCAGGGCCTCAACTTTTCTTCTCAGAGCTCCTCCAGTCCCTTCTGGTCAGGTACCAGTGCCTCGACCTGCTGCCTTCCCCAGGCTGCAGCATCCCCAGCTTGAAAGCCATCGCCAGCGGGACCTGTGGGGTCCCCACTGCCCCTCCATCACCTGCAGGCAGTTCAGGGGGTGCCCAATGCTGCCCCAGGGCACGGCCTGGAAATAAGTTAATTAACCAAGGCTTGACTGGAAGCAAAACACGCTCCCCTGTCTCCCCCAGAATTGAGGCAGGGAGGAGATGGAGTCGTCACTATTGGGAAAAGGGGCTAAAATTAACGCAAAAGCGAATCTGGTGCATTGGGATCTCGTGATGTACTTCAAGCTCCACCTGCTCATCCCATGTGTTTCACCGAACAAGCATTGGCATCACACCATCTTCCAGACCGTTCCCCATTGCTGTACGAGGAGAACATCTCAGTATTGGGCAGGTTTTGAGCTCTGGCACCCAAGGCTGCTCAGGAGCCCCTTGCTGAGGAGCCGGGGGGGACCCTGTGCTGTCAGATGTGGTTTGTGGCTCGGGCTCCTTGCAGAGAGCGCAGCGGTGCTCCGGCCTTCGAACCTCATCGATTAAACGTGTTTCAGACTGGTGTCTTCCTCCCTGTTCGACAGGGATCACAGCAAAAAGGGGCCACTTCATTTCTTCCTATTTAAGCTTTTACCTTTTAGTATTTTCTTTAGACTGGATGGGGAAAATCATCGGCAAAGCCACGCGTGCTTTCCTTAGTGCCGTGTTTGGGAAGAACACTTAACTTTTCAGGGTATTAGAACATAATTCTGGGAATCTAGGATCCTTTAACTGCATAAAAGGTATTGCAGAAATTATTTGGTGTAGCAACGGTCTCTGAGCAAGGTCCCGATGACAGAGGTCAAAGCTGTCGTGGCTCTCACTCCGTTGCCCAGCCGGGCTGCCTGGCGAGGACGGACGAGCCCTCCAGTGATTGCATGTTGTGTGTCTGGACTGTCTCCATTGCCATCCTCATCTCCTCCCATCCCGAGAGCTGAAAATCTGGGCAAAGCTTTTCCTCGCACTTAGTTCAACCTTGGTTTGCAAACTTTTAAAATTGAAATGAATCCTCGAAACTCCTGGGACGCAAAGGGCAGCTTCACCCAAACACAATGTCCCTTCAGGGTGGGGGGTTTTAATTTTATTCCTTTTTTTTTTTTTCTCCACCCTTTTTCTTTTTTTGCAAACTTCGGAGAAGGTGCATTTTTTTCCTTCCTCTGCCCATCCCACCCCTCCCACCGTTGCTCTCCAGCCCTCCTTCCCAGGCTGAGCACTGCCCCTGCCTCTCCCTCCTCACTGCTGCTCCTCCTTGTGCTTCCCCCGAGCATCCCCAGCCTGAAGTGATGGAGATCCGCGGTGCTGGGGCCGTGCCAGTGCTGGCAGAGACCAGGTCCCAGGATGGCTCCTGGGCCATGCTGCTTCTCACAAGCTGTGGGTCAGCATTAGGCTTTGCAGGGTGCTTTCGCAGCTTTTGATCTGTAATGAGACCAAGTTTCCAAGGGCCCTGGGATACCGGGGGATCCGGGTGAGCAGCTTGTTCCTCCTCGTGGCAAAACATACAGGTTTTGCTCAGCATCTCTAGGAGAATCCAATCCCAGTAACTCAATTTTTTTTGGAAGTAGTTTAAATACAAGTCTGTTTGTGAAGTCTTTTGACAAGATGGTCCCATCAGGTGCTGGGAGCTGTGCAGCAGCCAGACCTGACACTGATGGTGGAACAGGATTTTCCCCTGGTTTCATTGTTGATGACCGTGTATTCCATGATATCTTTGCTTTCACCACCTTCTCCCCAGAATGCCCCTCACTGCAGTGAGCCCCACCAAGCCCCTCCTAGACTCTCCTGGTCAGCAGAGAGGGACTTCCCAAGCCCACAGAGCTGTTTAAAGCCTGGCAGGAATCCAGTTAGACCCCAACCACCCCAGTCTCTGCAGGGCTGAGCAATTCGAACGAGGCCAACCCTGACATTGGAGCTGATCCCAGGTCGTGGCGTTGTGATGGAAGCCAGCGCCGTGGTGGAAAACCCAGGTTGAACCTCGCCAAGCTTTCCCCAGGCTTCGGCTGATCCCGTGCGGCGGGGGCAGCTCCCGACTCCTTCTGCTTTGTCCCCTGGCAGTGTTCACCCCACGGGTCGTAGGGACGGCGGTGGCACGATACAACTTCGCGGCACGGGACATGCGGGAGCTCTCGCTGCGAGAGGGCGACGTGGTGAAGATCTACAGCAGGATTGGCGGGGACCAGGGATGGTGGAAGGGGGAAACCAACGGAAGAGTGAGTTTATCCAGATAGCATCCCATCCCCTTTCTGCGGCGCGATGTCTTCCCCGCTCCCGACCTGTCTGCCCGGAGCGCAACCTGCTGTCAGGACAGCAAAGGGCAGGGGCACACGTCCCGCTCCCTCTGGCTCTTTCCCAGCTCACGGATGGGCTGTCGTCTCGCAAGAGCCACCGCTGCACTGCTGGTCAGTGCTGGGTGACAGTGATACGCGATGCCCGGTGCGCGCAGGCACATGGAGCGTGCGGCGGGCACGGCCAGCTCGGGCGACATCTGAGTTTGCTCTTCCTTAAACCTGCACGAGGGGGATTTATGCCAGAGTGGCTCTGCGGGTGAAAGGCTCAGCACCCTGGGGGAAGCAGCAGCTGATGGCTCGGCCTGTGTCCCACGGAGTTGTAGCACTGGGGACAGATTCTCCATGCCCTGATCTCTTACATATTGCAGACAACCATGTGTCCAAGGTGATGTCTAGTTGCTAGCTCCGTCCCAAATTAGGGTGATGGCTGCAGTGCCATTACCACCGTGCACTGGGACGTGGGCGCATCCAGCACCATACAAACAGCTCACCAGGAGCAGCACGTGGTGGCAGGGGCATAGTCCCAGCGACGGGCCAGGAGGTCCCTTGAGCTCCCTGGTCTCCAGCTCACCTCTCTGCTTCCCCGACAGGTCGG